CTGACCCCATACTGGGTTTTCTGAGGCTGTAAATCAAATGAAAGGGAGGAAATTATCCACCTTCTCCCACAGAACCACTGGTGGATTCAAACCACTAGAGAGGTGCCACCTTTGGATTAGCATCACGATTTGCTATGGACTACATCATAAACTCCAAAATTAAAAATAAATAAGTAAATAAAAGTTCTTAAAACAGCCTGGTCAAAATTGAAGAAAGCACTGAAAGAGATACACAAATAATCAAAACCTTATAGAATAATTTGCTAAATTCTCAGAGCACTATAAAATGAAAAAGAATACAAATATTACAATCATTTATCAGACTACTCTAGGAAAATCGTACAACTACCAAAGATATACATCACTGCCTTAGTTAAAAGCTATGTTACCTAGGCAACGGTACTAGAAAATGGTACAGTAATAAAATAAGAATTTAAAAAAGCAAAAGCAAATTTAACAAAGGAACAATCAATACCAAGATCCAAATGAAACCTCATCTCCTACATGTTTGTACAAATTATCCATGTCAAAGATAGACTGAGTCATTAGGTGGAAACTATAATTTTCTGGAGCCTAACTTCTCCATAGAGAGGGGTTCACCTGGAATGCAGATAGACAACATAAGACTATTCAAAATATTTTAAGATTTTGGTGCAAATAACAGAATAGGAAATTATATATGTGATTTATAAGTATGGTTTTGTTAGCATAATTTTATTTACCACATTAGATAATTGTCTAATAATCTTACAGCTATAAAAACTAACATAAGTTTTGGGGGTTTTGTTTGTTTGTTTCACAAATAACATCCAATTTGATTTTATAATTCACTCCAGTTAAAGAACAGGGTAGGAAGAGCTGAGGGGTATATTTTGCAACTAAATAATCCCATATGAAAGAATAAATTTCCGCCCCCTCAACTCTGGGTAATAATATGCTAGTTAATGTCCTTCCAGATCCACTCTTCATCCTTTTGCTTCTTATGCTGTGTCCTTGGGGGCTCTCTATTTATCCTGCATCAGCCTTTGCCTTCCAATTTCCTGTTTACTCCAGCCAACAGAAACGATGACAGAAAGTCAAAAAGTGGAAGAGGAATAAAATCAGACTGCAATCTGGCAGGTGCAAAATGCAGTGAGGGACGACAAAGTATTAAAACAAAATGTGCAAAGGGCTGGAATTAGAAAATTAAAAGGGAGAAACTTGCTTAGCATTTCTTAAGCTGAAGGAACTGAAAAAAAAAATTCAAGCCTCGAGTTACAATACTTAAGGATGCTTTAGATGTTGTTGTTATGTGCCATCGAGTCGTTTCCAACTCATAGCGACGCTATGCACAACAGCTCTAAACCCTGCTCTATCCTGCGCCAACCGCACCACCTCTGACACACCCATCCCGATTACCCCAGTTACTGAATCAATCCATCTCATAGAGGGTCTTCCCCTCCTGCGCTGTCCCTCCACCCTCCCAAGCA